TCCTCAAGCAATGCATGTGTGCTTCTTTCCCCTGGTCTTTCCAATAAAGTTTATTGTCTAGGTTTGTATTTCCCATCTAAATTTACCTCTATCTATCATTTCTCTCTCTCTCATATCTATCTGTCTGTCTATCCTCTATCTCTGTTTTTGCTGATCTTAAGGTGGAAAATGTTCTTATAAGCTAGTTGTGATTTGCATTTTCTCTTGTTAGGAATGAATATTGTTCCACTCCTAACTTTTTGTGTCTCTCAACTCCAAACTTACCCATCTTTGCCCCGCTTTGGTCTTATGGCACCTGGACATGGTAAATTAATCCTACTGGGTGGTTTCTTGCTTGCTAGGCCTGGCCAGGGAATGTCCCTGCCATGGAGCAGAACACAGCAGCACCCAGTACAACCACATCAAAAGGAGCCATAAAGGAGGGGTGGGGGTCTTTTGTTTTATTTTTTCCTGCTGTGGATGCTCCCCTCAGCTCTAGAGGCAGTGGCTGCTCTGTGTCTATTCTTCCTGTTTACTTTAGACTTTTCTCAATCACTTGATAATTTACTGTTACCAGGTGATAATTCTCTATATTAAATTTTGTCTGTTAGAATTACCATGTGGTTTTCTGTCTCCTGACTGGATCCTGGCTGTTGTTACAAAGACTGAACTTTTGAAAATATTAAAGTGTAATTTATTTGCATTTCTATTTTTGTGTGTCTAATTTTATCGGTGCACATTTCTTCTGTCTTTTGGATGTCTTTATTAATCTTTCTCTTCATAGCTTTTAGGTATTCTTTATATATTGGAGACATTTGTTTGGCCTGGTGTATAAGGTATACCTTTTCTCCACTTTATCATTTATCTTCTGATTTTTGTTAAGATATTTATTACCATTCAACAGGTCTTTTTTCTTTCCTTCCTTTCTGTTTCCTTCATGTTACCAAATTTATCAATTTTTAATTTGATCATATCTGGATTTTGAGTTCTATTTATATTCAAATTCACATCAATTGTTAAATAATTCATCATGTTTATTTTAGTGCTAGTATGGCTTAATTTTTCTGTATTTATAATTTGATTTGTTAATATTTTGATAGTGTATGGTAAAAGAAATTTATATTTCTCCATAAGGCTATCCAATTGCCTAAATGGCATTTATTTAAAAATTTACTTTTCCTTTAATGTTTTGGAGGTGTTGTTATTACATCTTGAATTTTACTTTCATCTCATTGGGTCTTTATCTTTATTTTCCCTATTTTCTGTTTATTTGCTATGTCTACCCAAATCATTTATCAATAATACATGGTTTTAATTATACAAGCTTCCTGATGTATTTTATACCAGTAGGTAGGTCTAACCCCATTTTCATTTGTTCTCTTTTTCAAGGGTTTTCATTGCTATATTAGAATTTTTTAAAAAACCTTCCATATAAACTTTATAGTCAACATATTTAAGGAAGGTATTCTGATTAGAACAATGTAAAATTTATGAATTAACTTTTGGACAACTGCCACCTTTATGCACTCCAATCTTGCTATCTAAGAGCACATATGTCCTCATATGTGCTCAAGTCTACTTTTGTATCTTTCTGGAGTTTTACAGTTTTTCTCACAGATGTTTTTGCACATTTCTCATTTGGTTAATAGTTAGGTATTTTATGTTTGAAAATCATAAGTGGGAATCTTCTCTTCCATTTACATTTTCTAATTGGAAATTTGCTGGCTTATATGAAGGCTATTACATCAATTTCACATTTTGCTAATTTACTAAGCTCTTTCTCCTGTAGTAGTAGTGGCAGTAACAGTAGTAGTATTTAATGTTTGGTGTATTGGAATATAGCCATACTTTTTTTTTTAAAGATTTTACTTTAAGTTCTGGGGTACATGTACAGAACGTGCAGTTTTGTTACATAGGTATACATGTGCCATGTTGGTTTGCTGCACCTATCAACCTGTCATCTAGGTTTTAAGCCCTGAATGCATTAGGTATTTGTCCTGATGTTCTCCCTCCCCTTGCCCCCAAGCCCCCAACAGGCCCTGGTGTGTGATATTCCCCTCCCTGTGTCCATGTGTTCTCATTGTTCAACTCCCACTTATGAGTTGGAACATGCGGTGTTTGGTTTTCTGTTCTTTGCTAGTTTGCTGAGAGCAATGGTTTCCAGCTTCATCCATGTCCCTGCAAAGGACATTAACTCATTCTTTTTGATGGCTGCATAGTGGAATGTAGCCATACTTTATACAAGACAAATAAAGCTTTCTTTAAGATAAAATAAATTTATAAGGCCTAAGAAGGGAATTCCTCTTCTTGGTTTGGCCAGGTGATATAAAATCTATATGGATGAAATCCTGTTAATGGTTGGTGACTGGCACATAAACTTCCTCTGCAACAGTGGTCCTATACCCTTTTTGACCCAATGCCATCTTTTTATAGCAAGTATTTTAGCTTGCCCCTTCTGTGCTCCTGAAAGAGAGCTGTGACATTCCCAGAGACTATTATTTCCCTACATGCCTAATTTAAAGAGGAAAAATAAAAGGAAAGTAATTGATAATAAACAATTTAATGCTTATTTTAGTTACTAATTGGTCAGGCATAACTACATAATGCAAAGGCAGATGCTTGTATGTATATGTAATCCCCATGAATGTGACTATAAATGCAGGCTGGCACAGGTTTGTCCTATAAGCACCTCAAGCAGTTTTGCTACCTTATAACTGAGGACATACATTTCTGAAATGATGAACAGCTCTTGGTAAAGCTCCAAACCATTTTTCCCCTAGAGTTACTTAATAGATACATTTATGGCAAATTTGTTACATAAAAAGTCATGCAGCAATATTCATATTTATATATAAAATGTATTTACATGTAAAATGGAGGTAGATCTATCTAAAAGGCTTAGACAATTCTATCATCAAGTGCATAACTAGCAGGATACTTAAAAATTCCAGAGGGAATGGGCAATTTTTGTGCTTTGGGACTGGTCTTATAGCTTGCAGGCTTTCTGTATTTTTGCCTCCCACTCACTAGATTCTACAGTATATCCCTCTGTCACTATGACAGCCAAAAATTTCCATAATGTCTCTAAAAGAGAAAAAAATCACCTCCACTGAGATTGCCTTTAAGTTGTAGGCATCTGACATTAAAGTAATTCTTAACTAAGGGGTGATAAAATTCACTGTTAGAAGTTTAGCCCCTCCACCTTTCCACTCCTAATACCTATAATTCACTCCTTCTCTCAGCAACTACTGTCATCAAGACACTACTCCAGAGGTTTCCAATATTGCCCAGAGCACATAAAATAAGCCATTAGTCGTTATTGTAGTTTATGTGTTATCCATATTTAAAACAGAAGGATTTTTTTTTCACAAACTCTTTGCTACTTTTGAACTGCAGAAACACAAAATGGCTAGCAATACACATTCTGGAGTATGAAAAAAACTGTTTGAATCCCATTTCTGATCTGAATTAACTATTTAGACAGGTTCCTTTTGAAGATCCAACTTATCTGTGATGGAGGATGCATGCATCAGAAAACACGTGTATTTAAGGGGGCACTTGGCAAGCAGTACATGCCCAGGAAATGTTAGCTGCTATTATCACTTGGCCCAGTCTTTTATCCTATGACTAAGGAAAGGGCTGGCTGAACAGGTTCTCACCATTATTCATGATATGCATTAATGTGTAAGCTCTCTGGAGTGGAGGTCACATCTTTATTAGTCATGATTTCTTCTATTAGTTGCCCAATAAATGCTTGTTGCTTGGTTATTGGCCTGTGGGGATCCCTTGGTTCTTTATAAAATATTCATTGCAACTTAACTGTCAGTGATTCATTCTTTACAGTACTGAGCTCAAAATCCTGTCACCAGTGTGAATTCTCCAAATTCTTCATGGAGATTTCATTTCATCCTGACTTCTGATCGGTTCACATCCTAGTGGCAGGGAGACATGCCATCATCTGGTGCCTCCTTAATGACACTTGTTGAGTTCTCTTCTTGTTTTGAAGCTCTTTATAGCCTGGGGCTGATTAGGTCCTACAACCTATCCTGTCCAGGTCCTAATTACTCCCTCATGCCTACAAGTCTCATTCCACCACTCCATTATTACCTGAAATCTTGATATTCTATGTCCCTTACCACTGACCTCCTTGTGCCATACGATCTTTCTTCCCACCTCCATCCATACTCCAATTGCGCAAACCTTAATCTCACTTAAATCATCACACTTTGTTCTCATGTAGCAACTAATTTACACTTATTGAGATTATTTACTTATTTATTGAATAAAGAGTCTCATTTACTAGTTCTGTTTGAGGCCGTGAATTGATAGGAACCGTACTGCATTTTTCCTTCAAGGTATTAATTTAAAAAGCAAGAAGGTCAAGACTTAATCAAAGTAATGCAAATATTTCTTGTCTGAATTGCTTGACATAAAACAAAACAGTTGTAAAGTCTTTATGTCTCTCAGCAATTCATGCAAATTGCACTGACTAAATAATACAGAGAGATGGATTAATTAAAGTGCCTTCTCAAAGTAGCATAAATAATGTGAATGATGATTAGGTATTGATGAATTTGTTTCAGATTCTATGTCTTTTATATGGAAGATATCTTTGGACAATAGGGCACCCCATATGTCTCAATGTAGGCTACATAGGCTGATAACTATTTATTTCCTTTGTTGTTGGCTTTTGTTTTCTTTTTTTTTTTTTTAACGTAGTCTCGCTCTGTCGCTCAGGCTGGAGTGCAGGGGCAGCATCTCAGCTCAGTGCAATGTCTGCCTCCCGAGTTCAAGTGATTCTCCTGCCTCAGCCTCCCAAGTAGCTGGGATTACAGATGCACACCACTATGCCAGGCTAATTTTATATTTTTAGTAGAGACAGGGTTTTGCCATATTGGCCAGGCTGGTCTTGAACTCCTGACCTCAGGTGATCCACCAGCCTTGGCCTCCCAAAGTGTTGGGATTACAGACATAAGCCACTGTGCCTGGCTACTGATAACTATTTCTTACTCTGGAGAGTGGGGAAGAATGTAAGGGTAAGGGAAACTCATTTATTAATTATTATATGTATTGGATGCAGCAATTCACATTTGTTAAATTATTTTCTCTCCAGAGTCACCCTATAAGGTAGATATTAGAAAGGAAAAAGCTGAGACACAGAAAGATTTAGTGAAACGCCCAAAGTCATACAATCAGATTTCCAAGCCAAGACCTTCCTCTTTTGTCTATCTCCGTCACCACTATCCAGGTAGCCTAACTGCTAACATGTACACTTATAGAAGATGGGGCCCCAGGTAGAGCTAATCTGCTCTTTTGTGGATTCTTTTGATTCTCCCAAGGGCAAACCTCTAGCTATCAGGGGAGACAGAAGAAGGATGGTTCATGGTGGTTAGGAATATGGGGCTCAAATTCATTCTCTGGTGGGCCCAGGTGTCCCAAGAGTAAAGTAGAGAAAATGAAAAAGACCTGTGATTTTCTTAATTTCAGAGGTGACAAATAAGCAGATTACGATGAGGTGACATGAGAGACAGTCCCTGAAGACCAACTAACAAGAAATATATTTTACTTAAGTTAGGATGCTTATTGGAGTGTCAATTCTAGAGACTCCACAACTGAAATTAACTGCAATTGATATGACAGCTGCACTGCGTGATACACTCTGTATACTGAAATGTATTTTACTCTGATATAAAAAATTGCGATATTATCTTTAAAGAAAAGTAAAGGAACAAAAGACTCAATCTCTGCTGAATGCAGAGTAACATCACAAGGAAGAGGTAAACAGTTTCAGTTGTCCTACTTCTTTTACAGGTGTTCTACAGAATCTGTTCCAGCTATATCTCCTGCTTACCCTGGGAGAATTAGCGTGAATGCTTCCTCTAAGAAGAAAGATTTCTCTCTTTTTTTTTTTTCTGCTTTCTTTTCAGTGAATTTAAGCATTGGACAGGAGCAAGCAAAGGGATCAAGTAGAAATCAAACAGTTACTAAAGGTAAGACAAGTGATATAAAGGTTTCTGTCTATTTAACTTACTATCCTGAAGAAAAATTCACAATCCTGTTAATTTTCTCAATCGCTTATCAACACAAAGTTCCAAGAGCATTGAGTCGCTAAGAAAAGAATGTAAAATAAATGTTGTATGTGTTATTTTTTGCAAAATATATAGCCATTAGGAAAAATATAAGCAGCAATAAGTATTATTTTAAAGATCTTTTAAATAAAAGAAATATATCATGAAACTTTAGTATTATTTTTAGAAACTCTTAGAAATTGGGAGCCCAGATCTCTGGCTAAGGAATCTCTGGGCTAAAGAATTGACTGAAAAATCTCAGCAGAGCCTGGGGAAATCCTGCACTGAAGCAGGAAAAATATTTATCAGAATAGAGGGGGAGACAGAAGTGTGTTATTTATACCAGCAGATGGAAAACAAATAATATTTTGCTATCTTGCTGATTAATATATGTGAGTCCTAAGAAAGACAATTTTCATCAACTGTAATTATATTTTCTCTTTAGGATATACGACATTTTTATTTAACCAAATGTATTTTAAAGTATTAATAAATCTCTGAGAATCACAATATCAATCTCTTTGTCTATCAGTGCTCTTATCTGTTATTGACAGAGCTTTTCTAAACGACCTCAAATGTTAAAAGAATGAAAGGTACATTGGCTGGACATACATTTAGACGTTGTTAGGCTAACTTTGAGAGCCCCGAGAGACTTCGGGTAAGTTAACCTTTCATACCTTACATTTCCTATCTACAAAAGGGGGGTGATAAATGCCTTTTACATAGAATTTAAATAAACAAGCAAAACAGTTAATAAAGTGCTTGTAGAGCATAAGAAATCATCAACAGATTTTCGCACATGTCAATACTTACATTTTACTCATCATTACTTATGTCGCATGTTTAGCACATCTAAGACATTTTATTCTGTGCAATATTTCTGTTAATGCTCTCAGAGAAACTTTGTTTGAGAAGGACAGAAGAAAGATGTTCCTTTTTTTTTTTCCCATTTCTTCTAAAGATGCTGTTCTTTGAAGTTCAAACAGCAAGTTTACTTCAAGAAAGAGGACCTAGGCTGTGTATCTATGCCAGTGAAATACAGATGGAGGCAATGTGGTGCTGAAGAACAGCAAATAATTTAGCATCAAGAGACCTACGTTCTAGCTCAGGATTCACCACTGGTTGGCTCAGAACCCCCACACTTTGCTGGCCTCATCTAACAAAAGACGGTATTACGTATACTCTTGGGATATTACCTGATAATTTATTTCACTGATTTGTGGTAAGGCTTATATAAGATAGTGGGTGCAATGACACTTTTTGAAATTGTTATGGAATTCTTTCAAAATGTCAGTTTTAATTATTGATTAGGGTATTGAGCCTCTATCTCAATGACAATTAGGTGGAGCCCAGCATAAATAGGTGCTTCTGTTTATGGCACTGTCTGTGATAATAGAACCAGTTCCTTCCCGCTCTATCACTGTTTTTAGAAACTTCTTTATCTTCAATGCTAAGCAAGGGTACTGGGTCACTTTGACCCCATGTTTTTCATTTAGGCAGTAACAAATAACCTCTTTCTGTGAGTAGTAAAAGATTTACCTCTGTCTTATCTTCTGAGATAGATTTTAACAATTAGCTTGGTAAAGTTTAAACTTTTGTTCAATAATCTGAGATCATGGAAGGGGTGGGGATTTGAGTTAAAGTGGAGAATAATTCCACTGGTGGTGTTTAAACTTTGATTTGGAAGATCTAGGCATCTATTCTGAATTTTCTTTTTTATTTGTTTTACTTGTCATGTCCTCTATTTATCTTCATTACACCTTGCAAAGGGTGACTCTTATCTCCATTTTGATTACTTGGTATTCAATTATTCCCCTGATTCAGTATGATGGCTGAAAAATTACATGTGTTACTTCTGATGTTTTCTGGTTCTCTTGAGAACTTGTGACTCTGAGTATTAGAGATTTTCACTGCCTTGGCTACTTCTGTCATTTTTTTCAGGGATGCCTACTCATTCTTATAATCGGATTCTCTAAATATTGGAGTGAATTATGGAAAATTACTAGTTAACTGAACGTCTTCTGTTCTCTGTAGATGTTTATCCTGGGAAATCAGAGGGGGGTTCGAACTGTACTGGCTGTGTGGGAATATTCTCTATTTGTTTTCTTCTTTGGCCAGACATTTTTAAAGTTCTTCCTGTATCCTAAGAGTTATTTTTATCCTTCCTTCCTTCCTTCCTTCCGTCTCTTCTTTTCTTTTCTTTCTTTCCTTTTTCTTTTTTTTTCTTTCTTTCTTTCTCTTTCTTTCCTTCTTTCTTTCTCTCCCTCTCTTTCTTTCCTTCTTTCTTTCTCTCCCTCTCTTTCTTTCTTCCCCCCTCCTCTTTTTCTTTTTCTTTTTTTTGACACGGTCTCATTCTATTGCACAGGCTGGACTGGTGTAGTGGCACAAACCCAGCTCACTGCAGTCTCGAACTCCCAGGGTCAAGCAATCCTCCCACCTCAGTCTCCTGAGTAGCTGAGACCACAAGCATGAGCCACCACCCACAGCTATTTAAAAAAATTTTTTTTGTAGAGATGAGATTTTGCCACATTGCTCAGGCTGGTCTTGAACTTCTGAGCTCAAGTGATCAGCCTTGCTTTTGTCTCTCAAAGTGCTGAGATTACAGGTGTGAGCCACCATGCCCAGCCCAACTATTTTTCTTGTCTGGCACTATTGATTAATTTTGTTAACTTTCAAGATTTTTCTTCATTCTATTAGTACTGAGGAGGAATTGTCAGTGGCCTGAATTCATTCTATTATCCTTCTCCAGTAGTTCCGTCTGGAGGGTATGTCAATATATAAATTAATATATTTATCACAAGTAATTATGGCAATAACATCTTAAGAATAAGTTATTTTAATTATTCAATAAATAGTTAAATCTAGGAATGACTGTAGTTAATAGATACTAAACCACTTGCTTCAGTCATTTGTTAGTAGGCAGCACACCTAGTACTATGCTACAAGTCTTTTGATTTGACATCAAATCCAACATACCTTTTACTATGCTTTTCACTTTTTGCTCTTCTGTTGGAATTTATGTTTCACTAAAAATATATTATAGCTCCATCATGTATTCATCTGACTAAATTCCACTGTGGATCTTCTTTCTTATTGCAGCTCAAAGGATGAGACTTATGAAAGAGGTTCGAGGCAGAAATCAAACAGAATTGACAGAATTTCTCCTCTTAGGACTTTCTGACAATCCAGATCTACAAGGGGTCCTCTTTGCATTATTTCTGTTAATCTATATGGCAACCATGGTGGGCAATTTGGGGATGATTGTATTGATTAAGATTGATCTCTGTCTCCACACTCCCATGTACTTCTTTCTCAGTAGCCTCTCTTTTGTGGATGCCTCTTACTCTTCTTCCGTCACTCCCAAGATGCTGGTGAACCTCATGGCTGAGAATAAGGCCATTTCTTTTCATGAATGTGCTGCCCAGTTCTACTTCTTTGGCTCCTTCCTGGGGACTGAGTGCTTCCTGTTGGCAATGATGGCATACGACCGCTACGCAGCCATTTGGAATCCCCTGCTCTACCCAGTACTCATGTCTGGGAGAATTTGCTTTTGGCTAATAGCTACCTCCTTCCTAGCAGGTTTTGGAAATGCAGCCATACACACAGGGATGACTTTTAGATTGTCCTTTTGTGGCTCTAATAGGATCAACCATTTCTACTGTGATACTCCACCGCTGCTCAAACTCTCTTGCTCTGATACCCATGTCAATGGCATTGTGATCATGGCTTTCTCAAGTTTTAATGTCATCTGCTGTGTTATGATTGTCCTCATTTCCTACCTGTGTATCTTCATTGCCATCTTGAAGATGCCTTCGTTAGAGGGCAGGCACAAAGCCTTCTCCACCTGTGCCTCTCACCTCATGGCTGTCACCATATTCTTTGGAACAATCCTCTTCATGTACTTGCGCCCTACATCTAGCTACTCAATGGAGCAGGACAAGGTTGTCTCTGTCTTTTATACAGTAATAATCCCTATGCTAAATCCCCTCATCTATAGTTTAAAAAATAAGGATGTAAAAAACGCCCTAAAGAAGATCTTACAGAAACACATCTTGTAAAGCCATGTCACGCATCATTTGTTATGAAGAAGAAAACACATTTTCATGTTAATTGTATTCTCTGATTGTTTAAGCTGTTTCTCTGTGTTAAAGTAGATAATTTAAGATGAAGTATACTTTTTAATACCCTAGTATCATATATATATATACACACACACACACACAGAGACTCCATCTCAAAAATAAATAAACAAATAAATAAATAAATAAATGAATAATAAATAAAATATTCGTTAGAGACCACAAAGGAAGAACTATTTCCTCCTAACCACCTGAAGAGCCCTCTCATGTCATATCCCAATAACTTCCACTTTCAATTGTTAACTAAGGTTTCTCTCAAACACATCCGAAACTGTATCAGAACTTGCATTCTCCTTCATATTTATTTTTATTCTGGTTCATCTGCTATCATATTTATCCCTTAATTTTTCTCTTAAATCACCGCTCTAAGGACATTTGTACTTTATCATTATTCATCACTGTCTTATGTCTGCATTTCACTCATTGCCCAGTTGAGATTCCACGGTCTATCACATAATGATGCGCTATCAGTTATGTTCAGTTCCATGGTTCCACCCTCCCTCCACTTTGCTCATCTGTCTAAATACCCATTTAATTAAATTTAGTTGTTTCTTCTATGTGTCCCCCATTTAAACTGCTTAATACAATTAGAGAGAATTCATCATCACTTTACTCTGTGTTACTGAACTTTCCTCATACTTCGTCCTGCGGGCGGAGGGCGGCGGGGGTGGGGGAAGATATGATCATCCTCACCTTACCACCTCTAAATCTTTATAAATGCTCTCTTTCTCCCCTCACATCATTATGGATAATGTATCTCTGCTTCTACCTAAGACCAGCTCTTTCATGTCTTTGGAGTTTTCCACGGATTTTACTTCTGAAATTATACCTCTACTCTCCCCAAGCATTAGTATCTCAAACTCTATCATAATATCCTCATTTATATACAAATATTTTCTAGTGCCACCTTCTTCACAGTGTCCGTGACAGTAAGTCCCATCCAGTCACCAACTTATTAATTTATCCCTACTCCCTTCTATAATTAATCTTTCCAAAAGAACTACCTCTACTCATTGCCCTGACTTCCTCCTATCTTATTAACACTATATCATGGTCCAGTTGTATTTCTGTAACATATATCCATTGAGGCTAATCTTATCGAGGACACATGACAACTCAATGCTACTTTATCCAAAGATCACTTCTCTGTCTCACTTTTACTTGATATCTCAGGATTTGTGGCAATTAATTCCTCCACCTGCCTTGATATACCCCTATATAGGTTTCTATATCACCTCACTCTTCTGTTTTTCCTTCTTTCACTCCTACCTCTTCCCAGTGAGCATTTGTCTTTTTTCCTCCATCTCATGCTGACCTTTATATCTTGGAGCAAAAGTCATAGTTTTGACGTTTGGTTCTCAGCCTGCACTTAATTCTTGGGTGACCTAAGAACTGTGCCATGATTCCAAAACCTGTATCTCTAGCCTTGATCTCTCACCCAAGTTCTGAATTCATGTATTTAATTAACAACCTGGCATGTAGGGACTTTGGATACATTAAAGGATTAAGAAATTAGTTTTCTCTTCTTGGTTATGATAGTCAGACATATGTAAAACAATCCCACCTTTTGTACTACTAGACGAGACTATACCTGCAAATCATACTTATGTCTTTGGACTTAAAATTATCTCAATATTAAGTCACAGATTGTATTTTCTATTAGGTTGCTGCAAAAGTAGTTGCAGTTTTTTGCAATACTTAAAAAAATAGCAAAAACCGTAATATTTTTGTACCAACTTACTATTATATTTCTTTAGTTTGTGCTGGAGCAAGAAAATTGGCAACTTTTATACCTTTACTCATAATCCTTTAAATATTTGTTGAATAACTTGCATGTAACTTATACTGGAGATATAACAGGTAAGAAAACCAAGTTTCTTATCTCAATAAACTTATATTTAAGTGAGAGAGATTGTATTGTCTCTGTCAAATGTATTATGCATGTGCGAATGTGTGTGTGCATTTCACATAAACATAAATGGCGTTTTGAAGAAAAACAAAGAGGGCAATAAAATGGAGTGAGAAAACAGCTCTCTGTTGAGGAACACCTGAGCAATGCCTGGATAGGGATGATACCATGTGAATGTCTGTGGAACAGCTTTCTGTGTACACATGCATTAAACACAAAGGCTCCAAGGCAAGATCCTTTTTGGTTTGTCAAAAGAATTGCAAAGAGACAAATATACAAATATATGTGAACCAAAGAGAGAAAACTAAAGGAGGTAAAGAACAGCAATCAGGAAGATTCTGAGAAAGGAAGGCAGATCACATAAGGCATAGTAGCTCATAAAGAGGTTTTGTGTTTTAGTTTTTCAAATTACTTTGTAATAGTTGTCTCCTACCAATGCCACATGGTAAGATGCAAGAGGGAATGGGCAAGATTAATTTTCTTGGCTATTTTAGTAGTACCAAGGGTGGTGTCTGCTTCATGAAACAAACTTATTAATATTTTTTGAGTGAATAAAGAAGTTTATGAAATGAAAGCCATATTCTAGTAGAAATGAATAAGAATTGTATTTTAAGTGGAATTCTGAGGGTTGGAGGCAGGATCTGATCAATCCTATAGATTTAATTCAATGCTGTGTTCAGTGGAGCCTCTGGATCATGAAATACTTTTTGTTCTTCTCTAAATTCCTAAGATACTCTTTCAGGTATAAATGATGCACTGGGGAAAAATTAGTTCAATTACCTCAGTGAAAAATGAATTCACTTTTTAATTATGGATTGGCATATTTCAGACTTTAGACTTTTTAGTGTTTAACAGAGACTAATCTCCAGAGAATGATGACAGCCTTAATAAGACTTGATCTTGGGCCTTGGATTCAAAAGCAGTGCATTTTATCCTTTGTTTAATTAAAGGATAAAATGCACTGCTGAATTCTGCCATAGTTGATTCCCTTATGTCATTTGCATAGTTTTTCAAAGCCATAAATCTGACTGTTGGAAACAGAAAACCTGTATTCCTACAAAACAAAAGTAAATTAATAAGAACCACTATTTTCAGTGAATATTACTTAAGGACAGAAGGTAAGATCATGTA